TCATAAACTGGGTACATTTCAGTTATACTAATGTGCAAATAAATAAATATACGTTTTTTTTAAAATACATGTGTGATTTCATTTTCAGCAAAATTGCAAATGAGCAACAGGAATGCTTGAAAGTAAATTGCATGCTGCATTCGCCTACATAATGCAGTCACTACACTTTACAGTAATAACAACAACTTGAATTTATATGGCAGCCTTCATGTGAGGGAGCGTCTCGGAGTGCTTTAACGGTGGCGGAGTTTGATACCGAGCTGGAGGAGGGAAGAGGTGACCATAAGTATGGTCAAAGAGGAAATAGCAGGCAAGACGGAAGGATTTAGGGAGATAGATCCACAGTTTTGGAGCACAGTGGCTGAAATCACAGACACCAATGATGGAGGGAGGTGAACAGGGATATACAGGAGGCTGGAGTCAGCCAAGCAGAGGCAGTGGGGTATTAGATTGGGTTAGAGAAGTCAGCTCATAAAACAATTTGTAAATGAGTTTGAGGATTTTGAAGTCAATGTGTTCTGTGAAAGGGAAGCCGGTGGAGTCTAGTAAGGGTGGGGTAATGAGGGTACAGAGTTTAGTGCGGTTAAGCATATGGACAGCAGCGTTCTGGATTAATTGTATTTTGTGGCTAGTGGAGCTGGGAAGACCTGTGAGGAGGGCAATGGAATAATGGAGAGGTGGGAGGTGACCAAAGCGTGAATGATGGTTTAGGCTGCGTTGAGTGTGAGGTACGGTTAGAGACAGGCAATGAGATGTAGGTGGAGGGAAAACAGTCCTCATCAGGGACCCGATGTAGGATACAGAGGACAGCTGGGAATCAAACCTGGTGTCAGGTTATGCACAGGTTTGATGAATCTGAGGGATAGGCTGTGAAGGTTGAGGAGGTCAGGGTTGCAGGCGAGAAGGCATAAATCCTGAGAAGATCTTTGAGATGCCGTCCCTGAATGAAAGGCGCTATTTCAAACGTAAGGGATTAACCTTGCCACTCTGAGTTACCTGGAATCTCACTGTGGTCTAGCAAAAGTGCTATGAGCAGAACTTCAGTAATCACAAACAGGTGCTTCACTCTCCAGTGAATGGCAATTGCCTCCTTTCAAGACCCATCTCTCGACCCTCCTCTTTGACTATGCCTTCGGTCACCCTCCTATCCCTACCCTCCCTGCCCTCCTGATCCCAACCACCAGCTCGGGTGCGGATCCCTGATTGTCCAGCGCCTTGGGATGTCCTCCTGACGTGAAACAAATGTCATTTGTTGTTGTTGACAGAAACAATGCAAATACAAGGGAGCATAATGGTTTTCGAAAACAGGTGTTTCAACTTATTTGAATGTCTTGAGTTTCATTTTTTTTTAGGAACTCAATTCGTAGTCTCTGGCCTTTGATTCCGATCACTGTGGACTGACCTGTAAGGTGGGCTGTAGCATGACACTGACCAGTGCTCGACTCTCCAATACAGGCCAGTGCTCCCTGCTCTGTAGACCTTCCTCAGCAATCTGTTCAAAGTCCCACATTCAGAAAATGAACTCCACGTTTATAAGTTTAACTTGCTGCCAGATCTGTTAAATGTTTCCTGGAATGTGTATGAGACATATTTGTCAGAACTGCCAATTCAGGATATTGCAGGCTCACTTTCTAATTGAAGGCGCTTTTCCTTTCATAATTAACATAATACAGTATGATCGCCTGAGGTAATGTAACATATGGAGGTACAATAGGGGCAACTTGAATACAATTATAGTTCCAATTCTACCTACTGAACCCCATTGCACATCGTGCAACAACAAAACCAAGAATAGGAGAAATTTACATTACTAGTGCAATATATTGCATGTGGAGTTCGTGTTATAGATTCACAGTCAGCCTGGTTCATTGGTAGCATTGGAAGGGCAGACTGGGAGCAGGAATTCTTCTCACTCAGTTCTTATCAACCTTGCAATCCAAATAACTTAATAGGTAGGATGATTCTAATTGCACAAGAAGTATGAAGCTTGCAGACAGTGCTCTAAATGGTAAGCCATGTGTGTTTCGCTAGCTAAACTCCAGCAGTACCCCAACACCCACAATCGGGTTCCCGAAACCATGGCACTTGCCAACCTATACTTAATACTCTCCAGAATTAGGTTCAAGAAGGGTACGTTCCTCCAGGGAGTGAGTACGCATTGCATTCCAGCCACAGAAAAATTTCCATGGCATACATATGTAGAACTCTCAGTCTAGTATAGATACTTTTAAGCATGGTGATTGGTTTCCACACATGCAAGACACCCACCTGCCTGGCCAAAAATAAGTTAAATTCTCTTATATCAGAAGTTATGGCATCTAAGGGTAACATTATAAGCCAGAGTGGCCTTGTGATAGCAAGGATGAATGGAGAACCATGCCTGCAGCTGTCCTTGCATAGTGGAGTTGAGATAGGTCAATGAAATTATTTCACAGATGTTGGAGACAACAGCAAATCTCCTTTTTTTTGGAAACAACTGACCTTAAACTACCAGCAATCTTATCAGCTATCTTTAGGCCAAGTCAGATTGGCATAGAATACTACACCCAGGCTACCTCAACTATGTGACTCATAGAGCTCAATGTTTTGTGATGAATGGGTTCATATTGTTTAACATTTTAACCACAATTTATTGCCATTGAAACTATAAACAGGATATAGATTTTAAACATCAATGAATTTTAAATGGGGTTTGGTGTTCAGTGCCTCATGACTACACTGCTGGCAGCTGGGAATTAGCCAGAGCTCATATATATTCTGACATAAACATGGCCTGTCTCACAATTATCAGTATGAACAACATTATATCCTTAGGAGCTTACAATAGATAATGCTAGCCACATCACAAGTACTATTAAACTGTTACCATACTCTTAATCACAGTGAAACCCAAGAATAAACAGGAAATAAAAACTAAATTCGACTGAAATCTGATGTACATTTCAGCTCCCCTTGGTTTTGTGCCAAACAGGCAGTAACAGAGATTTCCACAGAGATTTGCTGCAGTTGGCCTCTGTAACTTTAATTAGTATAAACTATTTTTTTTGAAAAAACACTTCTGACAATTTTTTGTCCTTGCCTGAAGGCAGCACTCCACTGGCATTATTCACTGTGCTGGCCAATCTCCAACACCTCCACCAAGTGACAATTCTTCATGTGTGAGGTCAGGCACGGAGGATTGGTTGTTGACTCAACCTGACATCAAAACCGTAACCAAACTTGTCCTCACTCCAAATCAAGGTGTGCATTTTACAGGAGTCCCTGGATACATCAATCAAATGAAGGAATTCTGGCTGATTCTTCCATTGTCCAGCGCTGCTATTGCCAGGCATAGCACTCCAATTCAAGACCTGGCTGCATCAACTCTGCACAAACCAGGAATTGGTATTATATAGAATTGCCAATAACCTTCAATACCAAAACAGTCTTCTTCACTTTGCCATACCCACTCCCTCCTCCAGTTTGCTGTCACCTGTGAATTTCAACACCATTGGATATCTGTATCCAAATGGAGAATATAGCACCAGATGGTGTCTTGTACTTGCTGATCAAGAGAGCTTAACATCCAATATTTATTTGCATAAAGTAAAGGCTTGTCATGCATGTTTATGACAGAAAAGCACCTGGTCTCAAATATGTGAACAGCATGTACACAAAATAAAATACAGAGGTTCTGGTGAACTGTAGCATTTGGAGAATGGAGTTGCAGGGCAAATTTTCTCTTTGACAATGCCTTGTCTCTCACTTCCTCCACCTCCCATATCTTCTACCCTGCTTGGGCTCCTATTCCATTTCTGTAAAGTGTTTTGAGACGATTTTCTACGTGAGAGATGCTTATGTAAGTGCATGTTGTTGTTTAGTTAATTAAAAGGAAGATGGGTGCCATTCAGAACATCAGCCACTGCCATCATTCCCATACCAAATTACAGCACTACCATGCCAGTGCATTAGTGCAGAACATGGAAATCTGTTCCAGGGCAACTGAGGATCCAGACTTCCACCTCTCCCATCAAATGCCACTTTGGAGCATAATCCAATATTAAATAATTCTAAATCACATTAACATGTATATTTGCAAATTAATTCACAAATCAGTTGCCTTATTCATTCATTAATTCAAATCATAAATTAGTTGCTAAACATATTCACTTATTAATTTTGAAATGAATCTATGGATATCTAAATTGAGAAATGCATTTACTGATGTATGCATTTGCAAGAGTCTCCATTAAAAAATAATGAATAAACTTTATATTGAAATGAATATGAATTCCTGACTTCTTCCAATGCAGGTCAAAGAATCATACTAAAAATAAACTCTACAGCTGCAAAGTACAAGAGAAGAACTGGATATCTGCTCTAATAGGCTTGTGAAAAAATGGTGGGGATCAACTCTACTTCTGAAATGCAGGGCACTGTTCGGTAACACAATATCTCTACAAATGCATTCCAATGCGTGCACAAAGTGCTTGTCCCACCAGACACCAGTAGCAATGATCAACAGAGCTAATTCACTTTACAATATATTCTGTGAAGCGCTTTGAGACATCTTGAAGGCGTGAAAAGGCGTGATAAGGCACTGTATCAAATGCAAGGATTATTATTAATATCAATAATCACTAGATTCTTGCTCCTTATTGTAATCTGTTCAGTTAATTTCCTGATTTTATTTTGAATCTGAAAGAATTCAATGTATAATTGATTTAATTTCTCCTAATCTTTAATCTTTATGAGAAAATTTGCCGAGTATTTTTAAAATAAATATAAATATGCAAAAATCACCTGATGACAAAATCAGGTATTCAAAAAATGAAACAGTTTCCAAAATGTGTTTATGGAAATTATCACATTTACAATATTTATATTCTATTTTTGCAAACACTGCACAGATTTTAAGAAATAAAGACTAAAAACTAGACTGGAATCTAAAACAATGTCATTATAGAATAGCCACAGCAGTGGTTGGCTATTTTACTAGATTATAAAGACGAGATGCCTACCTGGTCTCCAGGGGAATGTTACTGTTGAGCAGCCAATTGTCCTGCATGTGAGCGGACTCCTGTGTGCTTGGAGGTGGCTCTGGAGGAGGTGGGAGATCTGCTGGGCTTGGGCTGGGGTTACTGCGTGTAGTGAAGTTCCCCCTGTTCAGTGAGTTTACTGAGGAGGCATGGGGATGGTTTAATGTGTGGGGATGCGTCATTGGAGGTGGAGGTGTCCTGAGCATTGAACGGTTCTCAGGAGGATTGGCCAGATGATCTGAAAGAAAGGGAACATGCGATTACAAATATCCATATAGAATACAACAACAGAATTACATTTGTATAGCACCTTTCACGTCGGGAGGACGTCCCAAGGTGATGGACAGTCACAGTTTCGGACCTGAGCTGGGGTGGGGATCGGGGAGGGTGGAGAGCAGTGGGGGGAGGGGTTTTCGAAAGCACAGTCGAAGAGGAGGGTCTTGTGATGAGTTTTGAAGAAGGCAAGGGAGGGGCGAGGCGGAGAGACTGAGGGATAGAATTCCAAAGGGTGGGGGCAGAGTGGCAGAAGGCCTGTCCACCATTGGTGGGGTGAGCGAAGCGGGGGATGTGATGCAGACTGGAGCCCACTGAACGGAGGGAGCGGGCAGGATGGTAGGGAGTTAGGAGGTCACAGAAGTAGCGGGGAGCAAGACCATGGAGGTCTTTGAAGGTGAGGACCAGGATCTTGAACTGTATCTTCTGTGATGGGAAGCCAGTGGAGTCGGGCAAGGATGGGGGTGATAGGATCATGGAGCCTGGTGCAGGAGAGGACACGGGCTTCAGAGTTCTGGATGATCTGCAGCCTGTGGAGGGAGGAGTTCGGGAGGCTGACAAGCAGGGAGTCTGCATAGTCAAGTCTCGAAGTAATGAAAGTATGTTGAGGGTTTCGGCAGCCTGCGGTGTGAGACAGTGGTGGAGCCGGGCGATGTTGCGGAGGTGGAGAAGGCAGAGTGGGTCATGACACAGATGTGGGGTAGAAAGGAAGTTGAGGGTCAAACAAGATACCAAACTTCTGGACTGGCTTAGTAAAGTGGTGTTTACATCCATGGATGGTGATCTATCAGCGCCTGAGGTGTGGAGGCGCTGATGGGAGCCAATCAGGAGGGTCTTGGCCTTGTTGAAGTTCAACTAAAGAAAATTAGCGCTCATCTCATTAGCTCTCAGAACTTGATATCTGATAGAATACATATTACACATATTGCCATGAATGAATTACGATACATGAATACATATTGCTGTGTCCTATATTGGTGTTTGCTGACCATTACTGTTGGTTGCATTCACCATGTTGGCAAATAAATGGAAGTGTATAGTCTTTGGATTCTCAAACTTTGGTTTTGAACAGGTGTGAATTATAATAATGACAAGAATCCCTGCATTTTACATAGCGCCTGATTACATCATCGAAACATCTCAAAGCATTTCACAGGATTTCAAGTGTAGTGACTGTCTATTCGTAGGCAAACAAATGAATATTATAGTGTAATAACCCAAAATTATTTTGCCAGAAAAAATCCCACTAACAATACATTCAGATATTCATTCAATGTACAAACTTTTTTTTCATATTTTTCTCTAATGTTTACGAGTCCTTACAATATTGAAGGAATCAAATACTAAAATAGTACGTGCATCTGTAAAGAATTATGTGCTGGAAATATTATACTGAGGTACTGTTCTAGGCTAACATAAAGAGTTTTGCATTCTCACATTGTGGTGCCATCTGAATACTAAATTTACTTTTTGTTCCTGTTAGGTAACTTGTGATGGTTTGTTTTGGATTGTGATAGCTCTGGTTAATGAAGCTTTGGTTACCTGAAAGTTATTAAATATGATGGATGTAAATTAACATATGTTCAGTTTGAAGTGTGCTATGATAAGTGGCAAGCGTAACTGTAAGTACAGTACTTTGTTCTAACAGTAATGCTCTTTAAATCCAAGGGGGAGAGCAGAGGCACACAATTAGCTTGTGTGAACATTATACTGTAAATAATTGCTTTAGATAGTATTCCTTCTCTTTGGTTCACTTTGTATTTTATACCTGGCATAAGCCTTCAGAATTTTTCTCCTTTCATTAAGATAAACCATCTGTTACTTGGTTATGGGGTGTCATTCCTTCTCCCATCTGTTGACATGTTTGCTTCAACCCAAAGCTCTATGCCAATTTTAGATCAGAGAGGTTGAACATCTATCTACACCTCTGAAGTGTTTTAGAAGATAGGAATGTGGCAGATAATGGTTAATGAGAATATTCCACTTTATAGCAAATGTTACAATGCATATACAAGTATAAGATCACATGTAATCTGACCTTTAAGAGGGATAAATGTTACATCAAAATACAGTATATATGATTTAAGCAGCAATTAAGCTGCTGAAGAATTTGATATTATGCAAATTAATTCAAATTCATCGTCTCGTACTTGACATAATTTTAAATGCAATTTTAAATGAACTGCAATTTGGTCTACGCCTGCCAGTGTTAACGTGATAATTAAGTTACAACGTATGCAGCTCTTGAGTCATCAAAAATGTCATCATTTGGGATTTAGATTTCTGTCTGGAAGACACTTTTTTTACAATGGAGAAAGGGGGAGAAGAGAGAAAGAGATTTATTTTTCTTAACAGGTGGGTCAAAGGGGATTCTGGGGTGGGAAAGACAAGGATTTTGAACTCTATCCTCTGGAAGATGGGGAGCCAGTGGAGCTGGGCGAGGGTGGGGTGATAGGATCACGGAGGCTGATGTGGGAGGGGACACAAGCTGCAGAGTTCTGGATGATCTGCAGCTTGTGGAGGGAAGAGTTGGGCTGGCTGACAAGCAGGGAGTTAGCGAAGACGAGCCCGGATGTAATAAATGCATGAATGAAGGTTTTGGAGGCCTGGCGGAACCGGGCGTTGCTGCGGAGGTCGGGGAAGGCAGAGCAGGTCATGGCACAGATGTGATATGAAACAACTTCCCAAAACACACATTACCATGCCATTGAATGCAACAGGTACATTTTGACAAAGTTTAATAAACATTGGAATTAAGCGTTTATGTCACATCTTCTCAATGGGGATTAGTTTGCTCAGTGTAAGTCCATTGTAATATTGCACCTTCAAAGTCCGGTAATTTACTGATCTTTGGAGAATTACACCTATAGTTTTCCTCCAGCACAGCCTTTCTCATCTTCCTCTCTTCTTTCTCTCTGCTTCAATCGATAATCAATAGAAAGTATCTGTGGAGGTCATTTGGACCATTAGAAACTGAACTGATTGTAGTTTCCTTACTACAACAATAACTTGCACCCTCCACGCAGGTTAACGTCTTAGAGCGTTTGAGCTATCTGTTCTAATCCTTGATCTTTCCCCATATGCTTTAATGTTATTTTTCCTTAATTATTTATCCATTGAAATTGGTCATCTATGCCATCGTTGTTTTTGAGATGTTGTATGTAAATCGGAGCGGATGCTTGAGTAGCAGAAATTAATAGAGATATCTTTTAAATCAAAACTCCATGTTCATCCACAATAAACAAAACAACCAAGTGTAGAGAGCAACAATTGTAGGAGCACAACTTCTGCCTACCTAGAGAGCACTCTATTACTCAGCTGCACTCATCTATGACAACCTTTGTGTGACTCCTCCTTTGGCTTCCTGCTCCCTTAAGGGTTTCCAAGCTGTCCCACTGGGGAGGGTGGTTCTTGGGTCACCAGCTGCCACTGTGACCAGAGGTTGTATTTTTCTGTCCTGCCTCGGGATTTCCCAAGACCTTCACTTTTGTGGTCTAGTTCTAGCAAAAGTCAAGAGTGCTACCAACTGAGCCAAATTGAAACTGTGATATGATAATTATCACTAGTGATACCTTTCAGCAAACTGTGCGCAATTGGCTGCTGCGTTTCATCCACAAAATATATAATCAATTCACTTTACAATATATTCTGTGAAGCACTTTGAGACTTCTCGAAGACATGATAAGGCACTATATCAAATGTAAGGTTTATTTTTATTTATAAAAGTAATAATTATCATATTGTTGAAAACTGTAATCAAAACCCTCACCCCTGGCATTCGGTTCAATGCTTTGGATGGAAGCTAACTGAGTTTTCTACAGATTGCCATCTCTATTTTCACTGCTAGTCATTGTTCCCTTGCATTCCCACCGGACAAAATACTGGCCAAGCTTTGATTTGAGTTACATTGCATTCCATGCATTAGGAACTGAGATTGCCAAGAGATTGTGGGTCTATAGAGAGCCTGTCAGCTTCTGGACAAACCATCTTTGGAAAGGAGTTAACCACTAGTATCTAATCCCACATTTACACTACTTTTGTGAATAAAATCCAATCAAATAAAATAATATTTACATTTGATATAGCACTTTCTATTCTTTACAGGATATGCTGCAAAGTCTAGTGACTGTGTGCATTTTGTGGATGAAGGTGGCTGCCAATTTGCACACAGCAATGTTAGCCAAACAACAATGAAGAGAATGATCAATTTTATCTGGGGGATTGTTGACCAGAACAATGGGAGAAACTCCCTGCTCTTTTTCTGAATAGTGCCATGGGATTTTTAATGCCCACCTGAACAGGGAGACGGGACTCAGTTTAACATCCCATCATTCCCCCAGCAACGCACTGGAGTGCCAATTTAAGATTATATCACTGCAAAGTCCTGACAGACGTTTGAACACACAACCTTCTGAATCGGAGTGAGATTGCTGCCAAATGAACCAGACTGACAAACAATTACAAATGTTCATCTTATTTTTCATGTATTTAAATCAAATCAAATTATTGGACCTAGAGTTCAGATTGAGGTGGCATGCATAGACTAAATATGTTCCATTATTACACCCTTCAACTTAAAGAATACTTTTCACAATTGCCCTTGAATAGAAATTAGTGATTAACTGTCTTTTGTAATTGATGTCAGTGGCAATAGAACCCAGACAACTGGCCACTGATGTTACATAGCACAGACTGAAGCCTGAGGAAAAAAAATAAGAGATTCCCATTTTTCAAATAATATGGTAACCCAAGGGTACAATCAAACAAATATTGACTACAGTTTTCAGCTGATAAAGATAATTATTACTTCTCAGATTGCAGATGTGACCTTGAGCATGTAACACTATGCTGGCTTTGGGAACGAAACACACTCTCAAGACACTTCTTTATCTCTTTATCTCATCGTCCTCAACTGCAGTCGATATCTATATACCATTACTCCGTGATAAGATAAGTCAGAAACTT